TTTTTTTTTTTCTGGTTTTATTTTAAAATTTTGTTTTACTTTATTTGGAGACAGATGCTAGGGATGGAGCCAAAGACCTTGCACACACTGGGCGCACGCTCTCCCCTGAGCTGTGACCCCTCAGCCCCTTGAGAATTATTTCCAGCCACAGGGAACGCTATGCAGGAGTCCTGTGCTCCGGAGGCCACGACCCTTCACTCTCCTGAGCCGGGGGTAGGTGGGAGGGGGGTTAGGGGCTGCCCGCACTGTTCTTGAGCTCTCTGCCTACTGGGGCACCAGGCACTGCGGCTTTCGTGTTTCCCAGGGAGCCAGCAGATGGGAGACACTCGTCAGGGACAGGTCCATCTGAGGATGGGGCACCCCGCTGTTCGGAGGCATAGTGTTCCCAAGGTTGTTCACAGCATGGGGGAAGTGGTCAAGACTGCCCCACCCACCGGGCCTCCAGGGTTTCCCAGGCGTCTCACCACTCCAAAGCTGCAAAGCCCTTGGGGAGCAGAATAGGACCAGGGAGCCCAGGCTCCCTGCGAGGGCACAGAGCTGAAGCCTTCAGGACACGCATCTGCTCCCTTTTCCAGCACAGTTTAAATCTGATTTTTCTATCTTCTGAGGTTGGTTTTTGTTTGTTTGTTGTGGGTTTTGTTTGCTTTGTTCGGACAAAGGGTCTCACCCTAGTTCGGGCTGGCCTCCAACTCACAGCAATCGTCCTGCCTCAGCCTCCCCAGCGCTGGGACTACAAGCATGTGCCACAGTGCCTGGTCTTCCAGGTGTTTGGCAGTATAATGTGGATACCTAGGCGTGCTTTTGGACATCCTCTGCCGCAAGGTGTGACAGGACTGCAAAGTATTACTATCAGCGCTGTAAATATCTTAAGGATAACAGGGCAACCGCTGCGGTTAGGCATCTCTGCTTCTGCTGGTCCTCAGAGGACTGGGGGACAAGAGAGAGAAGTCAAACGCAGAGGCAGAAAGAGTGCGTTTGGCTGGGAGTCACCCCACTCTGCAAATTCCTGAGGCGGAAGTGCCTGGCACTCAGGGACGCCGCCCCCCACCCCAGCACGTGAGTGACAGCTGACCCGCGGGATGGAGCAAGTCGAGGCCCAGCCTGCACGTCAAAGGTGAGCTGCCTGGCTCCCCCTGTCCCTGTGGCCCACAGGTGCCCTGTGACGCTTGACCTGGCGGGGGCTGGGGGAGGGAGGGCTGGCTGCTGTCCAGGCACGATCTTCCCACAGCCTGAGGGCCTGTGTGTTTGCTACGGCAGAGTAGCCAGCTAGGCTGAAAGTAGTCCAGGTTCTTAACTGTTCCCTTGCAGAATCTAAGTTAATAACTAGTAACTGAATATCAACGTGGCTCAAACAGGCAACGGCTACGTTTTGTCATTTAACATCCAAAATGACTCCATGAGGTAAGTCGCCGCCCCAGTTTTACAGACAAAGCTCAGAGGTAAATGACTCGCTGAAGTTGCTACAGCGAGAGACCAGAGCCAGGCCTAGTGGACACATCTGCCATCTGAGCGCTGAGGAGGCTGAGACAGGAAGATCGCGGCAAGTTTAAGGCCAGCCTGGACTACCTGAGGAAAGCCTGTCTCAAAAAAAAAAAAAAAAAAAAAATCGTCACACACAAAAAAGGAAAGAATTTTCTAAGGTTGTGTTCTGAGTACAATGCTCTGTGTTCTCACCGCAGATTACAAAGCACCATGGGGCTGGGGTGGAGCTTGTTGGTATTTTCTAGGCATCCCAAGGGGGCGGGGCAACCACCTTAGCGCCAGGGAGATAGCTCAGCAGAAAAAGCGCTTCCCTGGCAAGCGCAAGGGTGCAAAGTGCTGCGTGCGAGGGGGTCAGGACTAGGAGAGCCGCATCCCCTGGGCGCAGCTCCCCAAACCCCACCCAACGCCTGGCCCTCAAGCTGGCCAACGGTGCCTCTGCCCTCGGGCTGTGCTTCTGCCTTCCTGCAGCGGCTGTCTGTCCTCCAAAGCCTGGTGTAGCGTCCCTGCCTTCCTCGAGCGCGCTGACCCCTAGTGCTCAGTTGGTGCGCGCTACTGACCCTTAACAGACCCTCCATTCGCGCTCCCCCTACACGGCTGGATCCCATTTCCCATGAACGCGACAGATACAGAACACTCCCTTGTGTGTATGCACGTATGTTTGTATGTTTTGAGACAAGATCTTGCTAAATTGCCCAGGCTGGCCTCAAACTCGCTGACCACCCCCCTACCCCACCTCCCCCACCCCACCCCCTCACCCCGCCCCCCACCCCTGCCTCCTGAGTAGCTGGAATGACAGGCACACACGGCCGTAAGTGGTCAGAAGTCATGAGCCCTGCTTGACAGTGCGTGCCTGTGGAATAAGATGTGTTCATGTGAACGGGAGCACTGCTGCCTCAGCACCATACATGGGGCCTAGGCTGTGGAGTGAGGCCTGGCACAGGCGGGGACAGGGCCGGCGACCTTGGGCCCACTGCACCTTCGTCACTGCACCTTCGTCTCTGCACCGCTCCAACCAATGGGAAGCACACAAATAGCATTCTCTGAAGGGCAGCAGATAGCAATTAGAAATTGCCATTAGAGAACCTTTCAGGGAAAGTGGTGATATTTTGGGGAAATGCACCTATTAAAGCATATCTGAAAGCCCGGCGCGGTGGCACACCTGTAATTCCAGCATTCAGGAGACTGAGACAGGAGGATCGTTGTGAGTTCAAGACCAGCATGGGCCACATAGTGAAACCTTATCTCTTGGGTGTCTAAACTCCCCATAGGTCCTAGGAATGCCCTGAAGCGATTCCTACTTCAGCCAAGCAGATCAGCCCTCTAGTATAGAACACACCTTGCTCATTTAGGACAGCGAAGCTCTGGCCCTTTTCTGGTCCACAAATTCCACACCCCCTCCTGGCCTTGGGCGCCCCGGCCTTACCCCACTCAGGTCAAAACTGCCAGGCTCTGGAAGCACCGGTCCATCCACCCCTCCAGCTCCATTAACTTTGGATTTGATGTTTTCCTGCATAGTAAAACTTTTCACATGATTATGTCATACTTTCTCAGTGACGTTAGAGGCATCATAAAGTACAAAAACTATCCTTTGTGTGTGTGTGTGTGTGTGTGTAGCCTCCACAACATTTAACATGGACTATGTATTCAGCAAGAATGCAATTCAGCTACTATTTAATGCATGAATGAACAGAAACTAAACAAAAGAAATAAATGTTGGTAAATAAGGGAGTAGATAAAGGTTGAAAGGGAGGAGAATTGGAAAAAAAGAAGAATCAAGTTGCATCAAGTACGAATTCCCTATGATGAATGTGATCATTATGTATCACTAAATTGTACCCAATAAACTTAATATAAAAGGAAATAAAATTCAAAGGTAATTTAAAAAATGTTTCTAGAAAAAAGTAGTTAGCATTTAAACTTTCTACTCTTATCCACTACTGTAAAATTATGCTTTTTCAAATTAGATTTTAATACAGTGTTCTAATATGATATACAACTTTAAAAAAATATTAGAAACTGTAATAGGCACCTGTAACCTCAGCACTCAGAAGGCTGAGGCAGAAAGATCGCCATGAGTTAGAGACCAGCCTGGGCTACAAAGTGAATTCAAGGCCAGTCTGAACTACACCCTGTCTCAAAAAAAAAAGGATGATATCATAAAAATAAGATATGTAGTATAAAGAGGAGCTTTCCATTTGCCGAGACCAGGAACAAGTACTATCCTTCTCTTTAAACTGCCGAGTAAGTTACTCTTTGCAAAATAAAATCTTGGCTGAACCTAGCTCTGTGGCAGCATCTATCTCTGTACTATGCTATTCTCCGTGTCCAGCCTGAGTGTAACTGGGAAGTAACTGCTTCACTCCAATGACCTTTCTTTCCGCTTGTTCTCCTCTGGCCAACTTGATATATACCCGCTTCCTAGAAGATTCTACAAGGCAGAAACAAACCATATTAGCTTTTTTTTTTTTTTCATTTATGTGTGTGTGTGTGTGTGTGTGTGGCCAGCTCAGCCCACCAGGGGGCAGGCTGACTGGCATGTGGTGCTGGGGGATTGAACCGCAGTCCCTGTGCTTTGCTTAGCTTGTTCTAAGTAGGTGCTTTAGACCACTGAACCATCTCACCAGTCCCCATATTAGCTTCTGATAATAAAAAAGTAGAATTCAATTTTATTGGTATGAAATCTTTTGATAGAGGGTTAACAACCTAAGTTTGCAGACCAAAATTAGAGAAAAAGGAGGGCCGCAAGGAAAGCCAACATTTTGGCCCTAGCCTTCCAAGGTCAATTAAGACTCAGGACATATGAGAACTTGTACTGTAACGTCATGTAACTTGGTAGTGTCCCAAATTTTCAGATCAAGGAGATTATGGGGCCAAAGAGGAAAGTGATCGATGATGTAGACTGTGCCTAAGGAGAGTCACATGGAGAGAAGACAGTCTCTCAGGCTTTCACAGAGAGCACATTGGGCAAGCAATGGCCGTGACTCATCCACATGGCTGACACTGACAAAGGATCTACAATCTGAGGTACAGGATCTCAGGATAAGTACTGAGGGGATTTCTCTGACCTTATCAGACCCAAAAGCTACAACTCTTGTTGCATAGGTCCTGCTTTACCTTGGTCTTAACCATCCAACAGAAAAGTATAAAAACGAAGTATAAGAAGTAAAGCCATGCTGTTATGTTGAGCTGTGGGGGACTCAGGTCAACAATTTCTGACATTGCCAGTGAAGCGAAGACTCAATACTATTATGGGCTACTGGACTCTTTTAGAATATTTTGCTGAGTTTACACACCTATAATATTCAAATAATGGAACTTAACAAAAAAGGGTAACAGATGAATGTCCATTTTGTATCTGTGTATTCAAAGTGGTTAGGATAGATATATAGTTACATTCTCTTAATGAATAGAGGGATTTGTTCTAATGGTGTTTGTAAGTAGGATATCATGTCTGCATCTTGTACAGCAATTAACCACTAGGAAGAGAGTATGCAATGTGTTAATTATTGAAACTGTCCTACCAATTTAACTTGAAACTGTCTCATTGCTATTTGTTTCTCAATAAAATTATGGGGGGAAAATGAACCTTTTGAGATAATTTAGCATTGCATCCCGGACCCAAGTACATGATTCTCTAGGCGGAGGGTTTTAGTACACACACGTGAGCCTTTATTTGGTACAGCTGCTACTCAGGAGGGGCTGCACGAGGCACTTTTGTGTTTCAGCAGCATAGAGAAGATTCTGCACAACCGGCCATTTCTGTGCTGAGGTTTATTCAGATTCCCTTTTGTCACCTTCTTCCTCCTCGAATTCAATCAAACGAGAGTGTCTGTCGGCCTGCGACCCTTCCATGTAGAACACCTTCTTTATCGTGCCATCCCGGGGAGCCTTTATGGTATGCTGCCGAGACACAAGAGAGGGTCACAGCGCCAACGAGGACCAGGTCCCTGCCACACCAGGGTGGCCAAAGCCACGATGTAGCTGCCAGTTTGGATGTTTCCTAGTCTCTCTGCCTCCCCCACTTTTTCTCCTTTTTTAAATGCACCTCAGCCCACATGTACAGTCTCAGACACTCCAGGGACCCATCCAGGGGCATGACTACGAGACCCTGGATGAATACTAGCTTTCAACTCCAGCTTCCCGCAGGACCCCACCCAGGCAGCTCCTATAGAGGGCAAGGGCAGGGAGGGAGCGCAGGGTGAGGAGGGGCCCCAGGGCGGGGAGGGGTCCCAGGGCAGGGCCTGCCTTTGATCCCCAGCATGGGGAAGAAGAAACTGCTCCCAGGCCCTATGCCTAGTGAGCCCAGCCCAGGAACTTGTCTGAGGAAGCACTTGGGTAATAACATGTGTTCAGGGCTGAGATACACTCACCTACTCTCCTTCCACCCATCCCAAAACCTAAGCAGCCAATTTAATTTCAACCAGGTTTTCACACTGATACTAATGCTTGCCACCCTGAGTTCAGCTGTAGAAGACAGCAATAGTTATAGTCAGCGAACGATGCTTTCATAATCAGAAAATGCCAGGTGCAATTTCATAAAACCGCAATGAAAATGTACTGACAGAAAGGATAGTTCAGAGGTTTTTGAGACAGGGTCTCACAACATAATCCAGGCTGGCCTCGAACTCTTGAGGCTCCTCCTGCCTCAGCCTCCCAAGTGCTGAGATTACAGGCATGCGCCACCACGCCCAGTGAGTTTGGTTTTGTAACCGATGATCAGCCAATCTATAGCTTCTAGTATTTAAAACAGCACTAACTTCCGGCGTGAGGCAGAGGAACAAGGCTGCGATAATCTCAGGCTTTACCGCTCAACTCATGATTCCACGCACCTCCATCTTCATGGCGATCATAACCATCAGCGAATCTCCAGCTTTTACTTTGTCTCCTGCTTTCACAAGCACCTGGAGGTTCAGAGGGACAAGTCAATATTTAAGGACACCAGGCAGAAGCTGCCTGTGTGGGTGTGTTGTCTGCCAAAGCCAAAGGTGCCAGAGCAAAAGTGAGACCCCAGGTCCCCGACACTGCGGGCGACAACCCAGGGGCCCAGCACTGTGTGGCTCCGTCTCTCCTGCCTAAGCCTTCTAGTTGGCTTGAATGAGGTGAAGCCACTGCCTAGGTCTTCTGCATTCTTTTTTTTTTTTCCGGAACCGGGGATTGAACTCAGGCCCTTGTGCTTGCCAGGGAAGCACTTACTCTTTTTTTTTTTTTTTTTTTATTTATTAATTTGTGTGTGTGTGTGTGTGTGTGTGTGTGTGGCCAGCTCAGCCCACCAGGGGGTGGCGCTGGCTGACATGTGGTGCTGGGGGATTGAACCGCGGTCCCTGTGCTTTAGCTAAGCTTGTTCTAAATAGGTGCTTTAGACCACTGAGCCATCTCTTCAGCCCCATGAAGCACTTATTCTACTGAGCCATCTCCCCGGCCCCTTCAGCATTCTTTGGGTCTTTTTCATGAATGCACAAGCGAGACACTTCACCAACAGTGGAGGACCAACAGGCACAAATGGACCCTTCGGAGCAGGAGTCCTGACTGGTTTTCTTTTTTGTTTGAGACAGGCTTTCACGATGCAGTTCAGGCTGGCCTTGAACTCACTGTGTCACCCAGGCTGGCCTCAACCTGGCAGCCATCCTCCTGCCTCAGCCTCCTGTGTGCTGGGATTATAGGGCACGCACCACCATGCCTGGCTTTACTGGATTTTTAGATTGGGGGTTGTCTAGAATAGTGTTCCAATTTGTGTGTGTGTGTGTGTGTGTGTGTGTGTGTGTGTGTTTCAAGTCTTCAGGACCCTAGGAAGAGTATAGATAATTCTCATGAGATAATTATATTTATCTCTCACAGATAAATCCAGAAAAACAAGGCTTTATTAATTTATTCATTTATTTACTTTATTTTTTCATTTATTTACTTTTTGAGACAGGGTTTCACTGTGCAGTTCAGGCTGTCCTTGAGCTCAATTTGTAGCCCAGGCTGGTCTCAAACTTGCAAGGATCCTCCTGCCTCAGCCTTCCTCTGTGCTGGGACTATGGCATGCACCACTGTACTGATTAACCCTTGGGGTTTTTAGAAACATTACATAATGGAGTTAGGTTCTAAAGTGATTGTGACCTGGGCCTGGCAGCACACGCCTATAATCCCAGCATGCAGGAGGCTGAGGCAGGAAGATGGCTGTGAGTTTAAGGCCAGCCTGATCTATATATTGAAACTTTATTTAATAAATAAGTACGAGCACCTCCCTTTTTGCTCTTGCTGCCTTGGCCCTTTTCTGCCCCCATGAGCTGTTGCCCACAGCACCCTGCCTTGGAGCCAGCTGATTAGATACTGAAACCTCCACAAAGTATGAGCTCAATAAGCTGTTTCTTCCCTTAAAACAAAGACAGTGAACCGCTGTATGGAGCCTAAGCTGGGAGAAGCGGGAAGCGTCCCTGGAGGCCCCACAAATCACCCGATCTGCAGCAGTGCTGAGACACGGTCAGGCCACGCGGCGCAGGCTGGCGATGCTCTAGCTCATCTCGGCAGCGCCGGCGTCACCGAGGTGCCCCGCCACGCCCAATGGCACCGCTCTAGTACTGCCCCACAGAGCCCTGCCTGGCCTTTGTCAGTGACAGAGAAAATGTGTTTTTTACTTTGAGATGGGGTCACATATAGCCCTGCCTTAAGGGGCTCTCCTGCCTCAGTCTCCCTGGTACCCTCCCAGGTGTGCCTGCCTGCCTTGCTCAATTTTTTTTTTGGCGAAACCAGGGATTAAACTCAGGCCCTTGCACTTGCCAGGCAAGCACTTATTCTACTGAGCCATATCTCCCCGGCCCTCGCTTTCACTTATTTACTTTTTAGTTTTTTTGAGACGGGGTTTCACTGTGTATATTCCAGGCTGGCCTCAAACTCAGTGGTCCTCCTGCTTCAGCCTCCCGCATGCTGGGATTACAGCTGAGCATCATGCTGCCTGGCTTTAAAATATCTATCTTTAAACACAAGAGGAACGCCTCCCACAGGGATGTCACTATGACCCGCCTTGGCAGCTCCAGATCCAGGTCTCTCTTGGCTCACGCTGCCTTGGGGGTGACTATTGCAGAGAAGAGTGTGTGAAATCACTTATGTGTTCAGCAGTCATTTTCTCCTTTTTCTCTGCCAAGAACACACAGTTGAGTGTTCAAGACTTCTGCGCATGTGAGGAAACTCTCCAGGGTCCCAGAGCATGACAGGAGGCTACAGATTTGTCCCCTGCTGCAGTTATATCAGTCCCTGCTAGGATCTGAATGTGCGCCATCACCCAGAAATTCGTACATTGAAACCCTAACCCTAAGGCGACTGTACTTGAGTGGGGGCCTCTGTGTAGCGGTAAGAAATCAGTGTCTTTATAAAAGAGGCCCCTGCTGGGGGTGGTGACGTGCGCCTGGAGTCTCAGCACCTGAATTACAGTGAAACCCTGTCTCAAAACAAGACCAAAATTTAACATTAAAAATGACCTTCAGGGGCTGGGATAGAGCTCAGTGGCATAGTGCATGCCTGGTAAGTTCAAGGTCCGGAGTTGGAGTCCTGATGCCAAAAAGACAAAGCAAAACAACAACAAATACATTTAGGGGGATACTGTCTGTTGAATTTTTTTTTTTTAATTTTTTGAGACAGTGTCTTGCTATGTAGTTCAAGCTGTCTCTGAACTAACTGTGTAGCCCAGGCTGCCTCGAACTCACAGTGATTCTCCTGCCTCAGCCTCCAGAGCACTGGAGTGTTAGAATTACAGATATGTACCACTGGGTCTCCTGAATGCTCTGTTTTAACAACAAAAGACAATGAGTCAGGTGTGGTGGCACACACCTGTAATTCCAGTATTCAGGAAGCTGAGGCAGGAGAACTGCTGTAAATCTGAGATTAGCTTACACTACATAGCAAGGCTGTCTCAACAAACAAAAACAAAACAAGACAATTTGGACTATTTGTTCTCCTTTTTTTTTTTTTTTAAATTGTAAGTTAGTACAGGGTCTCACTACACAGCTTGGACTCATAGTGATCCTCCTGCTTTCAGCCTCCTCAGTCCTGGGGTAACAGGTGTGTGCCACCATGCCCAGACTCGGCCACCAGCTTAGTGTGCCCGAAGGCGGGGCTGGGTTGGCATGTGGTACCAGGGATTGAACCCTGCTCCCTGTGCTTGCCTAAGCAGGCACTTAGTTGCTGAGCTATCTCGCTGGCCCTTTTGTACCTCTGTGTGTGTGTGTTTGTGTGTGTGTGTGTGAGCGTGTGTGTGTGACAGAACTGAACCCTCCTCTCATGCATGCTAAGCATGTGCTCTACGACTGAGTGGCACCCTCTGTAGCACATTATTTGTCCTTTGATGTACATTCTCACCTTCAAAACTAGCAGATGGAAGGAGAGGGCAGGGAAGGGAGGAAGAGGGGTGTGCAAAGAATTACGATGCGCGGCCTACATGAACCAGTTTTTCACTATGTACTGCAAACATGTCCTAATAAAAACTAAAACAAAAAAGATACTTAGAAAACCCCCAGAAACCTTGAGTTAGGGGTACAGCTCAGTGGTAGAGCACATATTTAGCATGCACAAGGTCCTGGGTTCACTCCCCAGCCCCAAACCAAACAAACAGTAGTCTTTATCCTAAATTAGGTAAATCGCTATTTTCACTGAAGACTGCAGTACAGAACCTAGAGCCATAATAGATCTCTTTGCTTTCCTGGAGTGGCCGCGTCCCAGCGAGCACGAGTCTTTGAGGACAGAGGACACACGTAGATGACACAGGCAACGTGCCATTCACCAGCGCTGTGGGCGCCGCTCTGCACCTGTCGCCTGACCAATTACCTTCTCGATGGTTCCCGTCATGGGCGCCACGGTGCCTCCCTGAGCGCCTTCTGCACGCGCTGCAGACAAGTACTTGGGTGCTGGAACGCCAACCTCAACGCTTCCTTCCTAAGAAAGAAAACAAGCTCAAAATGGAATCAAGACCCGCCCCTCAATCCTTACAAACACACTCGCGATCACGGCACTTTGCAAGCGATCACGGCACTTTGCAAGTGATGTGTTAACCACAGTCATCATCCACACCAAGGTTCTAATCCAGTATTTTTTTTTGGACAGGGTCTCGTTGTGAGTCCAGGTGGCCTTGAACTCCTGATCCTCCTGCCTCACCCTCCTGAGTGCTGGGATTGAAGGCGGCGTCAGCATGCCGGGCTCTCTAATTGAGCTTCATGAGCTTGAACAACTCACTAGACCCCTCTCAGTTTTGGTTTCCCATTTTAATGGAGTAATGCCTTTAGGCACAGTGGTGTACACCTGTAATCCCAGCATTGGGAGGCTGAGGCATGAGAATTGCTTTGGGTTTGAGGCCAGCCTTGGCTACATACTGAGTTCAAGACCAGCCTAGGCTACATAGCAATACCCTGTCTCAAAAAAAGGGAGGGGGCATAGCAGTATACATGCCTCCCAGGGGATAAAAGAGTTAAGGCATAAAACTAACTGTAGGTAACAGACAGCCACGGTCTAGAAGTGGCTTTCCGTATCAGCCCACTATCAAGTGCTTGGCTGATGTGTAGAACCTATGCGACACATCTTAGGTCCTTGTCACAACAACTTCATGAGGAAGGTAGCTTCTGTTCCCATTGTACATGGGGAGGAAACTGAGGCCCAGAGTTTCCCAATGCCAGGTCACACAACTGTAAGAGACAGAGCCAGGACTTGAACCCAGGGCTTGGTGACTGCTGCAGGGCTCCTAGCATGATGGGTCGGGGTACTGGGTCTCACAGGCCCAACTCTGCTCCTACAGGTTCAGCTCCATAGCCCCCCAACACGACACCCCCACGAGCCCACCCCCCTTCCGCAGTCCCCTTCTTCTCTAGGGTCTCAAGTCCCCAGGAGAAAGTGGCTGTGCGCCAGTGGCACACACTTGGGATCCCAGCACTCAGGATTACTCGGGATTACTGAGGCAGGAGGATAACCACAGGCTTGAGGCCAACCTCGGCTCACAGTGAGAACCGAGAGCCTAATGGTAAGAATCGGTGCAAACAAGAAGGATGGATGGAGAACTGGGGAGGCAGAGGTGCGGGAGGAGCACGGAGAGGAAAAACTGAGGCAACAGCTGCGGGGGCAGCAGGGAAGGGAACCCCGGGAGCTGCGGGGGCAGCAGGGAAGGGAACCCCGGGCAGGCCACTCCCGCGCACACCCTGGGAGTGGAGCGCTCACCGGAGAGAACAGGTGGACAGTGCCCCCCACGACCACCAGCTTCGCTCTTTTGCCCACGCCATTCACAGAGCTGCTCAGGTAGGTGCAGCCTCCCTCATTGTGCAGAGCACCGCTTACGTGGACGGTCTCGCCTTCGATCTGTAAGAGCCGGAAACTAAGATCTTTATAACAGAATGGTCCTACAGATTTCATAAAAGCTTCAACAGGTAACACACAAAATACATTTTGTTCAAAAAGCCACATAGGAATCAACCCATACTTTACAAAGAATCAGCAATAAGGCAATTAAACGAAGAAACAGTTACATAGCCTGTCCATAGCAGCACAGTGCTACAGACAAAGGTTCATTTGAGAATAGAAAGAAGCCAAATGTAGTGGCATGCACCTGTATTCCCAGCACTAGGGAGGCTGAGGCAGGAGGATTGCCACAATTCAAAGTCAACCTGGGCCAGCCTGAGTCCAAGGCCAGCCTGGGCTACCTACACTGTTTCAACAAACAAAAACAAAAACAAGAAACAAAAATAAACAACTAGAAAGAATAGCAATAAAAATGTATGACAAACATATAAATCAAAGTCAGCAAAATTATTAACATTTATTTGGGTATATTACAGGTTAGTAGTCATTCTTTTTTTTTTTTTTTTTTTGGTGGAACCGGGTATTGAACTCAGGCCCTTGGCGCTCGCCAGGGAAGCACTTATTCTACTGAGCCATCTCCCCAGCCCAAGTGCTCATTCTTGAGTATCTGCGATTCAATGAAATTTAGCTTTTATCAGCACCAGTGTAGGAAAAGGCAGGTAACATAATTAGGCGGCCACTTCCTTTATCGCAACAACATGTACACCCAGTTGCTGCACTTCGCTGTGACATAAGAAGACACACTCAATGGAGACTGACTGCCACGCTGGTACTGCTGGAGCGAGTCTGAGCCAAGACACAGACCTCGTGCCGATTGTTAGGAGGAAGCTGATCAAAGATGTCAAATCTTTCTGTTTTAAATATCTTCTCAGCTGGGCAGAGTGGCTCCCACCTGCAATCCCAGCACTCGGGAGCGGCAACACAAGGGTCATCGTTAAGCTCAAGGCCAGCCTCAATTACAAGGTGAGACCCGGGCTCGCCACCCCTGATACACACGAATGCTTCTCCTCGCCGGGTGGGGGCGCTCGTGCTTATCATCCCAGTACTCTGGGCGGCTGACGCACACTCATGTATGACAAACATATAAATCAAAGTCAGCAAAATTATTAACATTTATTTGGGTATATTAAGCCTGGCCTGGGTGTCCTAGGGAAACTGTCTCAGAAAGGGTGGTGGCGGGGCTGGAGCTCAGTGGGAAGGCCCTGGGTTCCATCTGCAGGGATGAAAACGGAACAAAGAGACTATTTTCTCACATAAATGCTTAAGGAGACAATTTCCCTTATACAACAGAGCCTGTTTTGCATTCCAGGCCCGAGATGCCGGTGTGCAGCCCTCCGGAGGTTCTGTCCAAAAGTTATGAAGCCTACGGTGAGACAGCTCACACTGCGACAGTCAGACGCTGGTTCTCACCTGTCCTGAGTCAGATATCACATCTTGCTCTCCTTTGTAACCTACTAAAACAGCCGTTGGAATGTTTGTAAAGCTCTCAGGACATAAAGGTTAGATTGCAAATGGTTTGTTTAAAGGGTCACAAAAGCACGTTCTAAATTTGTCTCCTGCACCGGTTAGTGGATTTACTTTACTTTTTTTTTCTTTAACATTAACCAAGGGACAAGAAAGTTGGAGCCAAGACAGTGCTCACTAACAGATGGAGAAAGAAAAGGTGGTATATATGGAAATATGATTCAGCTTTTTTTTTTTTTTTTTTTTTTTTTTTTTTTTTCAGCTTTTAAAAACTTCTGATGAAGGCGGGGGAGATAGCTCAGCAGGCTTAAGCACTTGCCTGGCAAGTGCAAGGTCCTAAGTTCAATCCCCAGTACCACAGGAGAAAAAAACCCTTCACTATGGCTTTTTTTTTTTTTTTTTTTTGGTAGCTAGCTCAGCCTGCCCTGGGGCTAGGCTGACATGGCATGTGGTGCTGGGGATTGAACCACGATCCCTAGGCTTGCCTAAGCTTGCCTAAACATGGTGCTTTATTTTTTATTTTTATTTATTTTTGCGGTACCAGGGATTGAACTCAGGACCTTGCGCTTGCCAGGCAAGTGCTTATTCTACTGAGCTATCTCCCCGGCCCCTATGCATGGTGCTTTAGACCACTGAGCTATCTCGCTGGCCCCACAAAACAAAACTTCTGATGCATACTACAACAGGGAAAAAAAGTGAGGCTATTGTGCTGTCACAAAAAGGACAAATGCTGTTTTTCCATTTTTATGAGGTACTTAAAGAAGACAAATTTATAGTAACAGTAGAATGATTAGTGTTGGGGACTCAGGGGAAAAGAAATTGAGTTGATACTTTTTAAATGATATAGAAGCTCAGTTTTTTTTGTTTTGTTTTGTTTTTGTTTTTGTTTTTTTGTTGTTGTTGTTGTTGTTTTTGTGACAGGGTCTCACTATGCAGTTCAGACTGGTCTCTGAACTCACTTTGTAATGCAAGCTGGCCTTGAATTTATGGCAATCCTCCTGCCTCAGCCTTTTGATTACTGACATTAAGGAGTGAAGAATTTCAGAATTTGCAAGGTTAAAAAAGTTCTGGACTTGGATGGTACACACCAAATGAATGTTTTTAATGCCACTGAGATGTATGCTTAATTATTAAAGTAGTAAGTTTTATGTTACATATATTTTAACATAATTAAAAATAAAACTCAGTAAATTTTTCTAAATGGTAAACATCAATAGATGTAACTCATAAGCAAAGGCTCTTTGAGACCAGGGGCACCTCAGTAAGCTCTGGAGAGTGTTGAGGACCAAATACAGCAGCACAGGCCTATAATCCCAGTGATCCGGGAGGCTGAGGCAGGAGGATCACAGGTCTGAGGCCAGCCAGGTATGGTGGTGCACACCTGTAATCCTAGCACTCTGGAGGCTGAGGCAGGAGGATCGCTGAGAGTTTGAGGCCAGCTAGACTGCAGACTAAATAAAAAAAGCCCCAGCCCTGCTCAGTAGGAGAAAGATTAGACTTTGATCTGACCCATAAACAACCTTACTGTGGCTTACCTGCATGTTATAGGACCCATCATGGTTATAAGTTACAGCGACGGCCACATCTTTATGAGAAAGGAGGAAATTGGACAATTAGAAGATATTTATTCAGTCACTGAGCTGCCAAAGATCTCACTTTCAACCTTAAGATAATGAGCTGCTCACGGAAACACCAACACCATTAATATCTTACAGCTCCCTGGAAATAAAGGCTTTTTTTCTTTTTCTTAGAGAAGCATCTGCCCAGCAGGTTTCAGTAAAGAGGAACACCAAAATTTTCTCTTTCTCTTAAAGTTGTGAACTATGTTACAGTCCCTCCCCCAACAAAAAGACTGCAGTGTGATAGCTGAAAATACAGTGAATCAGCAAGGAGACGCTCTGGCTTTAGACCCACATCTGCCACCTGGCTGCCTCTGTGATCCTGACTGAGTCGCCAGGTCCCTGAGCCTTTAGTTAGAAGGATTTTTTTTTAAATTTTTTTTTCTCCTAATGTCTTCAGGGCAGGTTTGGCTAGCTTGAGTTGTGGGGATCGAACCACAGCAACCTGAGCCTGACTGCTTTGTTGAAGCAGCCACTTAAAGAAGTGAGCTAAGGTACAGGCCCCCCATGAGCCTTTATTTACAGGCCCATTAAGTAGGTACATGAATGTAATGATGAGTAAATAAATGTGAGAGTGCTTCATAAACTAACAAGCGACAGAAGAAATGATTCTTGTTACTACGTGGATAAGGTATTGGCTGAAGACTATCCTAGGAGTTGGAAATCAAAAGTTTTGTGGATCTGGGTGGGGTAGCACACACCTGCTTCCCCAGCACTTGAGAGGCTGGGGCTGGAGGTTCACCTCAAGTTGGAGGCCAGGCTGGACTACACAGCGAGTTCAAGGCCTGAACTGCATAGTGAAACCCTCCCCCCACAAAAAAAAAAAAAAAAAAAAAAGTGGAAAGGAAAATCAAAAGTACATGAACTTCAGGGCCTGCACTATTAACTACTATATTATCTTTCTTCCCAACACACATATTTCCAAATGGTAAATTCACTGATAGGATAAATAGAGTCAAAGATATGCTTTCTCCTCTCTTCTCCACATCACTCAGCCTCACTATTTTTTCCTTTCACATACTTTCAACAGGGTGTATGAAAATTCTTCATGCCATATGTTGTCAACTTGCTTTGACTTTAAAGAAAATGCCTCCAATTACCCAGCTTAATTTTCTTTTAATTTATAAAAATATGAAAAGTATTTAGCCAATACAAATGCCAATAGTTTCACTGCCTGGAAAAATTCTTAGCTGTGCACACTGCCACAGACCTGTATGTAATTCCAGCACTCTGGGAGGCTGAGGCGGGAGGATCACAAATTCTTGCCCAGCTTGGGCAAATGAGCAAGACCTTGTCTCAAAATAAAAAATAAAGCCCGGGGGAAGTAGCTCAATGTGCAGACCCTGAGTTTAACCCCCAATACCTGAAAATAAAACAAAACTCCCTACAAATTCTTCTATGGTATTATAAGGCAACAGAACTTATTTTTCCCTTCCCTACTATCACTGACTAGAGAACCCTAAGCACTCTCCTGAACACTTAGTGAGGGTGGTGACTTAGCACGGAGCAGGGCTGGGGATGCACACATTTCCTGTGCGGTGGGTTCAAATTCTCACCCCATCAATTTGTGGTGCTATTTCTGAAAAACTACAAAAGCTTGGGCCTTCGTTTAGAGAGATTAGTAAGTTATGAAACTGACAACAGTCACACTAATCACACTGGCTTCTTCTGAAAACTCAAGAGAAACAATCTTTGGGAAGTGTTTAACACAGTGTCTGACATGAAACAAATATTACAACTCATATCTGATAACAAAAATCAGTATTATTTGTTGAGGAGGATGAGTTATGTTTTTTGTTTTGGTTTTGGTTTTTTTGTGGAACCAAGGATTGAACTCAGACCCTTGCAGTTGCCAGGGAAGCACTTACTCCACTATGCCATCTCCCCGGCCCCTTGGGGAGGGTGATTTGAGACAGGGTCTTGCTATACAGTTCAGGCTAGCATTGAATTCCCAGTGATCTTCCTGCCTAAGTCCTCTGAGTGCTGGGATTACAGGTGTGCATCATTATACCTGGAAATATTATCCTTATTGAGAATCGGACAAGTTTCTGTAAAACATGGCCAATAATAACAAAGTTTTGAATACAGCACTGTATTTAAAATACTTGGCCCCCCTGGGTGGGATGGGGCATGCCTGGAATCCTAGCAACCAGCAGGCTGAGACAGGAGGATCGCTGGGAGCTTGAAGCCAGCCTGGACTACGCAGGGAGGCCCTGTCTCAAGAACCGAACAAACGAGCAACTTGGGCCTTCTCACCGAGATGGCCATCAGTTGGCTCCACCCGGCACTCTCAGGCCCTGGGCTCCCTGGGCTCCCTGTCCGCTGGGCTCAGCAGTCCCCAGAGGCCCACCACAGCATTTCTAAATGCTCCTCCACTCAGACCTCGGTTACTTTTGTAGGGCACTGCCAAAAGTCTACAGTGAACAGTAATTATGTTGGCCTTTTGACTATGTATTTATATATTTTTTAAACTAAATCTTTTTTACTCCCAAAACACAACTTAGTACATTAATTGGAGACCTATGGCAAAGAACAGTTGGCTTATCTGAATTAAGTCATGACTGTCATTCCTCTGTTTAACTCAGGTGGAGGACACCTTGTGGTTTCCTGCGCTGGTATTCAGCAAAGAACAGGTGAGTGTGAGACAGTCCCAGATCCGGAGGCTGTTTCTTAGGGTGAGACAAGCAAGTGTGGCAGGAGCTGGTCAGCAGGCCTCTGTGCGCGCTGTCAGGTAAGGCCTGTGTGCACGCAGACTTCAGGCTTGTGACACAGCCCGGCTCCCACAGCAACGGCCGTGGAGGCTCAGGAGGAGAAAACGACTAAAGAGCTAGACCCAAAACTATGGGTCTCCCTATTCGGTTCAGGCTGGCCTGACCTTGTGGCAGTCCTCGTGCCCCAGCCCCCTCAGCGCTGGGATTACAGGCTTGCACCACCATAGGCCTCTCTAATGTCTGTGAATGAAGAAGCTGACACGTTGCTGTTACTGAGCAGGCGTCTGCAGAGCTGAAGTAGAGAAGATGCCACTCTGTTCAGGGAAGGCGCATAATGAGTTGCTGGCAAGAGCGCCTGGCTGTACCTTGGTAGGCACACTGCCATAGTGGCTCTGTCACAGTTCAAGGACACTTCCCACCCCTGACTGTGCCCGCCTCGCTTCCCTGCAGCAGAAGGGACACAGTCACAGCTATCACAGGCTTTGGGTCCCTCTGGAGTGCTGCCCCAGTCAGAGACGTACAGAGTACCTGCCACTCGAGTGTTAGCCTCTCCTGACCTCAGTTAAAATCCATCAGCCCCTAGCTTGAGCCTACTCGAATTGCTTTGCAATAAGGGACGAATGTTCCATTGGAAAGGTCGTGGCAGTAGCACTTGAATCAACATCAAAAAGGACACCAAAAAGGTTCTGCCACCTTACGAGCCTCAAGTAAATGACCCCATGTTCTGTGCCTTGTTTTCATCATGTACACGGGGATATGACAGTTGCTCCCCCTCATTACGTTGTTGTGAAGGTAAAAACTTACATGTGATGAGGCACATGACAAATTACAGCTCTTTGTGACCCACTTCCACTGGAAACACTGCTTGAGCAGTGGGCAATTTTCCTTTCCTGATATAGCTTTAGATACTATCTTCTTTATTTAAAATAATACATTCAGGGCTGGTGAGATGGCTCAGTGGTCTAAAGCACCTACTTAGAACAAGCTTAGCAAAGCACAGGGACCGCGGTTCAATCCCCCAGCACCACATGCCAGCCAGCCTGCCCCCTGGTGGGCTGAGCTGGCCACACACACACACACACACACACACACAAATAAATAAAAATAAAATTAAAAAAATAATAATACATTCAGACCAGGCATGGTGGTGATTACACCTGTAATCCTAGTGCTGGGGAGGCTGAAACAGGAGGATCTCCATGAGTCTGAGCTGTGTAGTGAGGCCCTATGCCAAATATATTAAAAAAAAAAAGTAATGCACTCTAGCCAGGTGTGGTGGTGCACACCTATACTCCCAGCACTCAGGAGGCTGAGGCAGGAAGATTGCTGTGAGGTTAAGGCCAGCCTAAACTTCATAGTGAGAATGTGTCTCAAAACAATAACAAAGAAAATTGTCCTACCAATTTGGTTTGAAACTGTCTCATTGCTATTTGTTTCTCAATAAAATTATGGAAAAAAATTTTTAAAAAATAACAAAGAAAAGTACAAAGAATTGGGGAAAAGAGGTTGTCTCAAATCCTACCTCCCTGTAATAACCTTGCTAACATTTTGGTTTCTTTCTTTCCTTCCTTCCTTCTCTCTTTTTCTTTCTTTCATTCTTTTTTTCTTTCCTTCTTTCTTTGCCATGTATGTTTTATGACATATTTTGAGAATGCTTCTAAAACACAGAAGTATAAAAAATTAAACACTGCAGATTAAAGCTCCTGCTTAGGCAGACCAGTGACCAGGGTTCCATCCCTGTCATGCTGGCCCCAGCCCGGCGGCATGCTAAAACAGCGAATGAGATTGGGTGTGGTGGCGCATGTCTGTAATCCCAGTGCTTGGGAGGCTGAAAATGGGAGGATCATTGAGTCTGATCTGTGTAGTGAGACCCTGTAGACGCTGTACTAAATACATTTTAAACAAATTAAATATTAATTTACTACTTAGAGCCAATGAAGACTAATTTTGGCATATTCCCGTCCCTTGTGCAGGCATTCAGAAAACTGTATTGGGCAGCTCGGGGCCAAGCCAAAGTCTTCTTTAGGTTCACCTGTATGATTCAGGTTTATCTCTTAATGAAATATTACTTACTTTTTTTACCATCTCTAAGAGTCAAATTTCTGGTGTAACAGAAGTTCAGTCTTCTTCCACTGCTGAATGAAAATGGAGAGACTAGATCTAGAAAAAATGTAAAATTCAACAACAAACTTATAAACATCAAGTTTCCAAAATTTATACCTTACCAAAGAAAACATAAAACACAGCTTCTACGCTGACAGCTCAAATAAATTTTATTTATTTATTTATTTATTTATTTATTTTTTGTATTTTGGGGAAGGATCTACAGGGTGTTCAGGGTCTCACTACTAGATTGGACTCCTACTGATCCTCCTGTTTACAGCCTCCCAAGAGGTGGGATTACAGGCGTGTGCCACAACTCCCAGTCTGTTTTTTTTTTTTTAATTTAAATTAGATATTTCATTTATTATTTTTTTGGCAGTACTGGGGATTAACAGATATTTCATTTATATCCCTGAAAATTTCATAGGGAAAATCCCAGCTTCTCTGGGAGAATTCAAACACTGTGTGCAGCCTGCGCTCTCAGAACTGCAGAGCCTCACGGCTGTGAGGAAGCGAGTGCGGCTCAGGTCACCAAAACCTTCACTCCTCCCTGGTCTCCTCCCACCTGGCCTCCTTTTCTCTTCTCTGGTCCTGGTCCAGCATTAGAGGCTGTTGGACCAAGTCCAGGGGCCACAGAAGAACTGAACTGGAAAAAAAAAAAAAAAAAGAACTGAACTGAAGCCATTTATTTCAAGTTCATCTCTGTGCTAGTTATACATTTGGAAAGAAAGGTAAGAGCACGAGGACTCTGCATTCTAAAAATGGTAAGTTCAGCCTCAGGAAAACCACATGGGGATGTCTGGATGCATTTTCATTTAATGTAAAATGAAAAAAAAGAATTGAGCACAAATCTAAAGATGCAGCCAGACATGGTGGTACAAGCCTATAATCCTAGCACTTGGGAGGCTGAGGCAGGAGGATCACCCTGTTGAGGCCAGCCTGGGGATATATAGTGAGTTCAAGGTCAGCTTGGACTACACAGTGAGACCCTGTCTCAAAGAAAAACCGAGAGAGAAAGAAACAGAGAGAGAGAGAGAGAGAGAGAGAGAGAGAGAGAGAGACAGACAGACAGAGACAGAGAGAGAAAGAGAGATTCATTCTAAGCTTTTAATAGCATTATCTTGAATGTAACTAGAAATTAAATGTCCTAATAACAGGATCTTATAAAAGAAGAAAATAGGAGCCGGGGAGATAGCTCAGTAGAATAAGTGCTTGCCTGGCAAGTGCAAGGGCCTGAGTTCAATCCCCAGTTCTGCCAAAAAAAAAAAAAAAAAAGAAGAAGAAGAAAATAAAATAGACTAGATGGATTTGATTTTCTTTCTTTCTTTCTTTCTTTCTTTCTTTCTTTCTTTCTTTCTTTCTTTCTTTCTTTTTTTGTGGTACCAGGGATTGAACTCAGGACCTTGAGCTTGCCAGGCAAGTGCTTATTCTACTGAGCTATCTTCCTGGCTCCTGGATTTGATTTTTTAAAAAATTCTGGTTGTGAGACTGGGCGTGGTGGTATGGGCCTGTAATCCCAGCGCTTGGGAGGCTAAAAACAGGAGGATCACTACAAGTCCAATCTCCATAGTGAGACCCTGTAGACACTGCACTAAATACATTTTAAAAAAGAAAGAAAGAGGAAGATAAAATTCTGGTTGCACTGAAGGTCAGCATTAGCCTGAGTATCACGGAGCCAGTGTGGGAGACCAGCTCTTGGTCTATTCAGATGGAAGAACTCTCCAAGGACAGCTGACTGAGCTGCAGGCAGCTGTCCAGGAGGGAATGAGTGTTGGTTTCGGGGTATGAGGAAGAGGCCAAGCAACAACATCCTGGGGTGCTGAGGCTGGGGTACCTGTGTGCAGCGAGGACAAGCCTGGCTGGAGCCCAGCCTGTGCCCAGGTTCTACGATCCCACCAAGTACCCAGGTGCCCAGGTCGACAGAAAAGTAACCACAGGGAGGAAGAGAAAGCGATAAGGAAGTCGAAAGACACCCCCACCCCGTTCTGTTTTAACCACTGGGACCAAGCAAGTTGCTGCAGGTACAGAGGCCTCACCAGAGAAGGCCACAAATAGAACAGAGAAGTCACCAGGCATCCGCGAGAGGCGCAGGGAGAACCAAGGCCTGCAAGGCCTGGGATCGGTGAGCCACGTTGACCAGGTCAGGCTGCGTGTGTGGACACCACCGTGAGCTGCAAGCACTCTCCTTCACCACAGAGCACGCTGGGAGAATGGACTCGCTCCGGCAGACGGAGGGGACAGCGCGCAGGGGGCAGATTAGCGGTCTGTCTGTACCTCGCGTCTGCAGGGTGAACGCGTCCGTCACAGCTTTCTCCTTGAGGATGAGGCCCAGGGCAGCCTGGCACAGAAGCTCATTGGCTACCGCACTGCTGCTGGGCAGCAGCTCCTCGCGGTGCTGAGGAATGAAATCGGTGTGCACGTCCCCGGTGGCAAAGGCCGGGTGGGCGCACAGGCGGAGCAAGAAGTCGACGTTGGTGTGCAGGCCAACAATCTAGGAGAAAATAAAATTCCAGTTCCTACTGAGTGAGAAAAACAAGGTACTCAGAAAGCATCTGCTCTTTTTTCTAAGTATTTTCTACTGCAGATAACTCTTAGGACAAATGAAAATTCTAGTAAGGCACCATGGATGGGGGTCACTATATCCATTACTATCTGCCTAGATTAACACAACTACAGTTTAATAAGATGAAAGGATCAAGGAAGTGTAGTTGCTAGTATGGAGACATTTGGCCCAGGAAAGTGGTGAATATAAGCCACGTATGGTGGCACATACCTGTAATCCCAGCACTAGGAGGCTGAGGCAGGAGGATTATTGCAAGTTCACAACCAGCCTGGGTTACAAAGTAAGTTCAAGGCCAACCTGTCCCAAAAAACAGACTGGAAAAAAAAAAGTGGTAAATACTAATTTGTAAGATAGGTACATATAGATATTTTTTGAGCTAGGGCCTCTGTGTCATTTAGGCTGGCCTTGAGCTCACTACATGGCCCAGGCTGGCCTCAAACTCAAGGCAATTCTCCTGCCTCAGGCTACTTAGTGTTGGGATTCTGGCAAGTGCCACCATACCCAGAACCTCACTCATCGATTGGCCGCTCACTGAGCACTGTTTAGGTGCCAGGCTCTGATCCAGGCCCTGGAAAGAGACAGAGGAATGAAGCAGATGAAGCCCCTGCCCTCGGGGGGCTGACATTCCAGGCAAACAGGTAATGGATACCATCTAGAAGCGAACATCTAACATAACATCATGGAGGAGACTTAGGCTGGCTAAGGGGCCAGAGAAGAGCAATGGGCCCTATTTTATTTATTTATTTATTTATTTATTTATTTAGTATTTAGTACATGGTCTAGAGGGTCTACAGGGTCTCACTACATAGATCAAGGTCCCACTATATAGATCAGACTCAGTGATTCTCCTGTTTTCAGCCTCCCCAGCGCTGAGATTATAGGTGCACCACCACGCCCAGTCTCAATGGCTGCCTCAGCATGCCCAGGGGGTGGGGCAGGTATGGCAGGCCTGGGATTGAATCCCCAGCCCCTAGGCCTGCCTGCAGGCACTTTAGTCTGCTGAGCTATCTGACCAGCCATACAGGGCCCTATTTTAAATGACACAGGCAGGAAAGGGTCTGAGAAGTGAGCAGGGGTGCAAACAAGAGGGAAGTTGTGCTTATACAGGGGAAGAACATTCTAAAAGACAGGGGTGTTATGGTTTGTGTCTAGGTGTCCCCCACAGCCTCATGCAGTCATGGGGCAGCTTCTGGAGTTTGTGACTGATTACTGAGGATGTGGATGCTGCACCTGCCCTGGGGCCGGTAATCTGCATTACAATGTAAGGAGGGGAGAGGCTTGCTAGCTTCCACAGCTGGTCCTCTCTGCTCTTTGCTGCCGCCATACCCTCTGCCATGTACAGCTCTGTCTTGGAGCCAATTTAGTATGGACTGAAACCTCTACCATTTGTGAGTTAAATAAACCTTTCCTTCCTTCATTTTGGGTATCAGGCATTAGCCCAGCAACCAGAGAAGAGAAACTGAGTCAAGGGGACAGGCACATGACTTCATGCTGGCAACATCTCAGGAATGGCCAAGAGTCTGGTGTGGTTGGAGCCACAGAAAGCAGATGTGAGCAAATGAATAACACACACCAATTCTATTACCATGTGCTACTTTGTCCTTCTATGATGCTAAATCAATATGGCACAGGCTTTCTGCACCAAGGACATTACTGTCTTGCAGAAAAACAACTCTGTCAAACAGATAAAACTGAACATAATTATTTTCCTTCGGAGAATGTTTGCCAGAATGTAGGCAACATTCATGTAGCTGGCCTCATTTGTACAATGACTAGACTTCACTAAAATATAATACTGACGCTAATAGCTTCACTTCTGTGGTCTTTCTCCCTTCACTGAAATCAAGAAGTCCTCAAATCCTACTCTAACCCATGGAAATTCCCCATGTGACATTATTCTGTTTATGACATCCAAGCAATCGGTGGATACACACTGGTAAGACCAAGGCTTTGACATGGCCTTTGATGCTGACCAATGACATCCGGGTCATTGCCACAGCCCCAGGTCACTCACATTGAACTGATGAAGGCTGTACCTCAGTTTCGTTAGGGCTGCCTGGCGGTCTGCAGCCCATACGACCAGCTTTGCGATCATAGGGTCATAGTGGATGGAAACGTCGTCTCCTGCAAATGAAAAACCACAGTGGCCTTTCAAAATTAAAACTTAGATGATCCAGGGCTGGTGAGATAGCTTAGTGGACTAAAGCACCTGCTTAGGTAAGCACAGGGACAACGGTTCGACCCTTGGCACCACATGCAGTGCCAACCCTGTCCCTAGGGTCGGCTGAGCCAGGCACAGAATCTGGGCGCATGCCTGCAATCCCAGCACTGGGGAGGCTGCTGGAGGATCACCACGAGTCTGAGCTGCGTAGTGAGACCCTGCAACAACCAAATACATTAAAAAAAAAACCAAAACCTTAAATGAACCAAAACAGGACAAGCAAGACAATCTGCTATGCACATCTCACGCTTAGTTCTCACTAATTCCTGGAAGATAAAATACCACTATTTTATTTGTGAGGCAACTGAGGTGTGGAGATGCTTAAAACCTTGTCCATAAAGAACAAAATAAGGTAGACAATAGGAAATAAGGAGGTCAACATTTTGCAAATGAGAGGCAGTGGAGAGGAAGGGAAGTAAAATAATGAAGGCGAGCTGTGTGCTCACACCAACTCACCTGCCGTGTGGGGTCCTGTCCTGCGTCTATGGACCAATAACAATTAACGGTAAACTTGTCCAAAGTCAATGAGAATTAGGCCACCACAGATGCCAGCTGCTAACACAGTGGCTCAATGACATGCAGCTGGCTAGCTCCTTTCAAACTTTGTTTTCCTTTTTGGACATCAACACAGATGCCTTTCAGTCCCTCACATGACACCTCACTTCGGCTCTTCACATGCCTCTGCCCCCCCCATACCCCTCACGTTTCCTCATCCATGAAATTAAAAATTCCTCTGACCCAGAGTTGTGGGGAGGGGTGACAATAAAGTGCCAAGGGCCATGCCTGGCAGAGCTGATAAACAGAAGACAGCTATCAGTACCATAATTATACTCCTAGAGAACAAGCATCTGAACCCGGATGTGACTGGTGAGAAGGGGTTCAAGCTGAAAGGACAGGGTGTATCACAAAGGACACGGCTGTAGGACTTTCCCCAGTGTTCACAGGTCCTGTGACCTCTTTGAACCCCAGGTCCTTGCCTGTTATTCCAGGGGGTTGGAATGTACTCATCCATCCACCCGTTATGCATCAACACACACTGAACACTACTACGCCTGCACTGCAGCAAGGGCCACGGCTGCAACCCAAAGGACCGTGTCCTCACCTTGAGCATCTTAGATCTGAGGGAGAAATATAACCCGTGATGGTCCCACGCAGGTGATGTCCAGGACGCCAGCCGTTTCGGGTTTGCACAAGAGAAGGGCTGGGTGGGGGTGCTATGTGGACTCTTATTACCTCTCCTGGGACCAAGCTTCGAACTCCAAAGTCCTTCTCAGCACTGCACCCTGCGACCCTCTGAGCACCTTCGGGAAACCCCACTGCAGGCTCTGCCTGGAGTGCAGAGCCCTTCTTCACCTCTGCCATGTCCATTTTGTTTCTATATGCTCTGCTGATGAGGGAACTATCCTACCAGCCTCTAAATCTTATACTCCAATGCTATCAATTTTTAAAAATCATGAAATCTTAATGCTCCATTCTGACTTCAAGATGCTACAATGTGCCCTCAACTCCGACTCCAACTGCAGCTCCATTACTCATCTTCCTGACCCTTCTCTTCAGCAGTGTGCTTCTGCACAGTTCTTTTAACACACCTTTCACTTTCTCTTTTCTTCACCTTCCCCTGGGCTGTAGCAGCTGCCTACTTAAATTCACTCCAGATTTCCTCTTAAAAAGTAGTCCAATTAGATCAGCCTAACAGAACTCCTTGTCCTGAGCATTGCGCTCAACTGTCAGAACTATTTTCACAACTGAAATGAAGAGGTCTACATACACATTCAGCACACGGGAGGCTGAGGCAAGAGGTTGGCCAATTCAAGACCAGCTGGGCTATGTTTGGAGTTCCAGGGCAGCCTGGACTATGCAATGAGACCCTTTCAAAAAGAAAAGAGGGGGTTCCACTGTCTGGCAGCCAAGGGGACCCTGCCAACTGCTGCCAACACCCCAGTGGAGAAACTTAGAGGTAAACATTAAATTTAATTTTTTTTTAATTTTTTTTATTTAGTACAAGCTCTACAGGGTCTCACTATGTAAACTGGACTTGTAGTGATCTGCCTGTGTTCAGCCTCCCAAGAGCTGGATTCAGGCATGCACCACCACGCCCAGTCTCAATCACCATCTCAGTGCACCCTGGGGGCAGGTCCAGCACGGCATGCTGGGGTTCAAATGGGCCGCTGCATCTGCCTAAGCAGGTAATACATTTCAAGTACATACAAACTATCTCTGGCACCAGGCATGGTGCGCACGCTTGTAATCCTAGCACTTGGGGGCCTGATGCAGGAGGATTGCTATTAATTTGAGGCCAGCCTAGACTATATATATATAGTAAGAGTCTGTCTCAAAATACAGAAAAACAGGGGCCAGGGAGATGGCTCAGTAGAATAAGTACTTGCCTGGCAAGCTCAAGGGCCTCAGTTCAATCCCCAGTTCCGACAAAAAATAAATAAATAAATAAATAAATAAAATTTTAAAAGATTACAATCTATGCTGAGCAGATATAGTAGTAAGTGACAGGAGAAAAGTTTCCCTGCAAACTCAGTCTACTTAGTGTCTTTCACTGTGGAGAGCTCAGTTGCTGTCATCTGTCATAATTCTCCTGCCCATAGTATCTAAAAGCCCAAGAATATATGGCTTTCCACCAACCATATCTATGATAATCGAGACATATTGAGGTAGAAATTTGTTTTGTGTGGTAGCACGAGATAAGAATGCTCTTAATTGTCTTCATTATGGAAATACATGTATATATTTTTCAGACGAGGTCACTATAGGCTGACCTTGAACTCACTGTGTAGCCCAGGCTGATGTTGAACTCTCAGTGATCCTCCTACCTCAGCCTCCTGAGTGCTGGGATTACAGGCATGTACCACCACTACATTTGGCCATGGAAAACCTTTATTTCTGATATGCATATAAGGAAACCTATAGCAACTACCTAAGGAGCTCTTTTCAGATATATTTTAAAGATCCTTCACAGGGTTAGCCAAATAGCTCAGTGGATTTAAGTGCCTGCAAGCTGATGCAGGGGCCAGGGGTTCAAGCCCTGGCCTGCTGTGCCAGCCCCACTTGGGGCATGCTGAGACAGTGATTAAAACTGGGCATGGTGGCATACACCTGTAATCCCAGCTCTTGGGAGGCTGAACACAGGCAGATCACTACGAGTCTGATCTAGTAGTGAGACCCTGTACACCCTGTCCAAAAAAAAAAAAAAAAAAACCTTCACCAAAACAAAGAAGAGAAAAAAAGTCATATATAGAAAAATCATCTAGAAAAGTACCTATACATAGGAAGCTCTGATTATTAGTTATGGCCATCATTTCATATGCTGAACTATAGTATCTCTTGTACTGTTAGTTTTAGATGCAATGTAATTATTTTATTTCTGCTTAGCTTGTAATGTAGCACGTTGTGTTTCAAAACAATACTACATTGTTTAAAATATGAGTTATGCTCTAACAATAATTATTCCAAAAGGGAGATGGCTCAGTGGAATAAGCGCTTCCCTGGCAAGTGCAAGGGCCTGAGTTCAATCCCCGGTTCCGCAAAAAAAAAAATTAAATTAAATTAATAAAATAAATAAAACATGCTCAAGGGCCTGGGGAGATAGCTCAGTAGAATAAATGGTTGCCTGGCAAGCACAGGGTCCTGGGTTCAATCCCCGATACTGCAAACAAACAAATCTGCAAAATTATACTAATAATATAATTAAAAATATGCTCAATATTTCCACCCAAGAATAAGACTGAACCCCAAAATAAACAATGCACTAAAACCTAGTGTAATGATGTACACCTGTAGCCCCAGCTCCTAGGGCTGCGGCAGGAGGATCACTTGCTCAGTCCAGACCACCCTGAGTACTACAATGCCACTCTGATTTCAAAGAAAAAATGTACTAGCAGTTTAACAAGAGTGAGACGATTCACTTTATTTCTACCTTGCCGTACTCCGGTTTCGATCCGAGTGGAAAGGTCTGCATGAGGGGTGGAGAGATGTACCAACGGTCCCGCCCCTGGCATAAAGTTGTTGTTAGGGTCTTCGGCATATATCCTAGCCTCAAAGGCATGGCCCTGCAGAGGGATTTCTTCCTGGCTCAAAGGAATCTTCTCTCCTGCTGCAATCTGGGAACAGAAGAACAGCGCTTATGAAAACACCTTGCAGCATGCGAACTTGGTCAGTGGCCTTGCATTTTTCTGTAGAAAATGTACATTTGGATTTTGCAATGCAACTAAATAAGAGCTATGACTATATCCATCTGCAAGAGTACTAGGCAACACAGAAATAGATTAACCAACGGATGCCACTTGGCCATAGTCTACTTCCAATGGGTGTCTAGAGTTTTTAAATGGAGACAAGAAAACTGATGGATGATTGATAAATATAAAAATCAAGGTGACTATGGTGGTGCACACCTGTAATGCCAGCACTCGGAAGGCTGAGACAGGAAGATCACCAGTTTGAGGCCAGCTGGACTACATAGTTAGACCCTATCTCCAAAAACCTAAGTAAATAAAGAGTCAGTGTTTAATATGCTCAAAATTTTCTGACAAGATATTCTCAATTTTCATTTAAAACAGCAGTACTCAGCTCCCAAATCAATCTTTTTTTTTTATATAATAAATGATTAGTTGGTATTTAGGTCCAATTCACAGCCAAGAAAGTCCTTGCGCTTTCTGTCAGCACACAAGAAAGCAAGGGGCTGGCCACGTGGTGGCGCTTCAGTTCTTTTCTGTCCCTGTGTGATCCAGATTAGAAGCTGGGTCATTTTTATTATCCATAGCTGCTACACTTATTCCCACTTGGCTCTTATGTATCAATATAACACATCCCTCTCTTCAACAAAGATAACCTGGAAAAGGCAGTCAGGGGTGTGTTGTCACTTTCCTTCCTTCTTTTTAGTAGTACATGTGTGTAGTGCCTGCTTGTTTACATTCCTTGGGTGGAGCTGGCCCCAGCAGTAACCCTTCTCAACCTCCGAGGCTGCAAAGGTCTAGTCGCACTTCGTTACTACTTCAGAAAAACAGAACTCCTTTTCCCTTCCGGCACTCTTGCCAGAAGTGTCCCAACCCACTACAGTTTTTCTAACCCTAATAGTCCATACACCTGGTCTTCATTAGTTCTCAAGCCCTCTCAGGCCAAAAAGAATCTTTCAGCTCATTAAAACCATTAATCATCCCCAAAGGGCCAGGAAAACAAACAAACAAAAAAACCCAACAGCATATTATTTTCAAAGTCCTGAGAAGACAAAATTATCAAAATAATCAGGACTTTAGCAATGCAGCCTGGAAAAAAATAACTTAGATTCAGCACATACAAAGACCCAAGGCAGGGACTTAAAGTTCAACATATCAATACTTGATGAAAAATACCTGTTCCTTATTATGCCTAAGATGTTTGAAATGCAGTGAGATAGTGAGGTTAA